CGATCGGAGATGATCAATGGACAACAGACGTCGGTGGGACCCCTCAAATTCTCTGCACAAATTATACTCAGGTCCTGTTCAGGGAAGAACTCAGCGAAGATCCGGCGGTGGCGATCGGAGATGATCAATGGACAACAGACGTTGGTCGTTCCCAAGCTACGTATGGAAGGAGGCATTCCACTCCACTCGTAAAGGCCAAAATCCATCCAATCTCCGTTGGTTGGAGGAACGGATCTAAGGACAGGAAGTACACACAGACAGTCGTTCCCAAGCTAGTTATGGGAGGAGGCATTCCACTCCACTCCTAAAGGCCAAACGGCTCTCTAAGGACAGGAAGTACGCAGCGCTTATTGGTTATACTGTCCCCAGGGGTTGCAGACTACAATCCCAGGCTATTAGGTTACTCTGCTCAATGAAGAACTCATGCAACCACTTTGCAACAGTGGAAGGTATGGACTCCAAACCAGTTTGAGAGCTGTGCTGACATGGGACCTCTTTGCAGCAGTGGAAGGTATGGAGTCCATACCAGTTTGAGACCTGTCTGTGTAAGGACTTCAGCAAAGTTATCAGGTCTGTGCCGGCTGTCAACCACGCAGGCCTGCTTTGGTTGATGCAAATGTTGCGTGTTCACACACAGGCAAACCCCGGTTTGGCAAGCTCTGATTTGGAAGGCTGTAATTTTTTAATAACCACAGCATTCGTCAGAGAGAGGCGACAAGCACCACGAGAAGTTCCGCTTCGCAAGCCTTTGGTTGGCCGGCTAAGCCAAGCTGAGTAATGCTCTCAGTAAGGGGTTCGCCGCACATCCTTTTGAAACAGCGAGGGCTTTTCTGAAATTTGTCAGACGGAATTCGAAAGGGGAGTACTTTTGAACCCCCCCCCCCCCCTTGCCACACAGCTTCTCGAAACAGTGAGGGCTTTTCTGAAATTTGTCAGACGGAATTCGAAAGGCGAGTACTTTCGAAAGAACCCCCCCCACATCGCCACACAGACTTTCGAAACAGCGCGGGCTTTCGATATGGCACATTAGGGCCTCGCTCCACTACTCTCGACGTGTGCAAAAGGATGGTGTGAATCTTCCCCTCGAACATGGAAAGAAACACCACCATGAGTTTTGTCATTTGTGCATGTCGAGAGTAGTGGAGCCACGCCCTGGTAATCGCCCCTTTTTTCTTCTTTTTTTATCACTAATCGGCCGTCCCGAGAGGCCCTTTCCAAAAGACCACTCGCGATCTTTCGAAGAAACACTCCGGACAGGAGGGAGGATCTTGCCCTTTCGAAAGTACTTTTGATGCCCACGTCTCTGACACCTTTCGAAAGTTTTTCGAAAGGACTCGTTTCGAAAGCGTGTGTGGCGAAGACGCGGCATCCATTCCGCACCTTTCGAAAGGCTGCGTGGCGAGCCCCTACGTCTGGGTTCCGGGTAGAATTGTGAGGTCCCGCGCCTCCTCTATTACTTGCAATTTATGTAAAAAAACAAAAGAAGTTGTACCTCCCCTGAACCTAAGTCCGGGTAGAATTGTGAGGCCCCCATCTCCCCTGAACCTGGGGGCTCTTTCCACTACTCACGACATGCACAAAACACAAAAATCATGGCGGTGTATCTTTCTATGTTCTAGCGGAAGATTCACTCTCATTTTGCACATTTGGATAGAAGAGCAGCCGGGCCTCTGTTTTCTTCATTCCTAGGGCCCTGTGGCCAAGGCAAATACATTAGATCCGCAGCGAAGTTCTACAAAGGGGTCAACTCTCCACACCATATTTTAAAAAGAAAAGAAACAAACAGGGGCGGGGCGACAACACCCACTCAAAAACTCAAAGCCACACCATTAAAAATAATAATAATAATAATAATAATAATAATAATAATAATAATAGTAATAATAATAAATGGAACGATACAGAGAAGATCAGCATGGCCCTTGCGCAAAGATGGCATATGCATAAATCGAGAAATGGTCTAAATTTAAGGGAGGGAAAAAAAAAAAAACAAAAAAAAAAACAAGAGCTAAAAAAGGGATCAGATGCTATACACAACGCTACAGGTCAGCAAGAAAAAGGGCCCCAAAAAGTACACTGACAAGTCAGCTTATCGAAAGCGGCCGATCCATCGAGGGCAAGCAGCCCAGCCAACTGCAAACCAACTACACCACCGCTTCAAACGCCCTTCATCGCGAGTGTGTGGCCCAGCGGCCGCGCTGCTTGTTTTATAATGAAAGTTGGGGGGGGGGGGAGAAAAAAAAAAACGACTTTTTTTCCTTTTTTTTTTAATACAAAGACTGGGGGGGGKGCATTTGCATGGAAACGTCAGCATGTACGTCCCAAAGGGATTGCACTGTCCTTGGGGATACAGATACACCTACCTTCTTCCCCCGAATATAACGTACGGTCATTGTAGATCTATTTGAGTTAATCTTTCAGTCTAAATACAGCTATAAAGCCCATACATTGTATTCAGGGGAAGACGGTATCATGGCCCCTGCCTTCTTCCTCCCAATACAACACACAGTCATTGTAGGTCTATTTCAGTTATCTTTCAGTCTAAATACAGCTATAATGACCTTACATTTCATTCGGGGGAAGAACGTAGCATGGCCCATGCATATGACACGTGTAATGCAAGAAACGGTCAAAAAGACTCTAAAATTCTAAATAGAAGGGAAAAAAAAAAAAAAAAAAAAAAAAAGACAAAGGGATTGCGCTATGGGCGTTTGCAGTAAAAAAGGGTAAAGTGAGCAGCTCACTACAGTTACAGTCCACGTCGTTGGTTTCCACAGCTGTGCAGAGCTGTCTTTTTTTTTTTTTTTTTTTTTTTTTTTTTTTTTTTTTTTTTTTTGAGGGGACGGGGGGTGTGGGGGGTGGGCAGAGCTCTTGTACTCTCGCATCATGCAATGGATCACCCACCCCAAAAAAGATTGCAACCCAACCCTGCAATCTGGTTTGTACTCTTGCAGGGTTTGAACCCTTGATTCGTCTATCAACAAACGTCTACGGGTGTACCTTTCTTTTATTTTATATTTTATATTTTTTTCATATAAAAGCTGAGTTTGTCAAAAAACGTCGGTATCTTTCCTTTGATATAAAAGCTACGTGGTATTCTTCTCAAAAAAAAAAAAAAGAAAAAAAAAAGCTGTATTCTTCTCTCAGTTCCACCTCTCACAATCAATCCAACCTACTATACAGGGGAGCCCAGCAAGCATAGCTACCCCTCACAATCAATGGGGATGTGGCGGTCAGGGAGGGAGGCTGTCTCTTATACACATCTAGATGTGTATAAGAGACAGCCTCTGG